CCCTTATCATTCTGTACTGATTAAACTATCAACCCACACCTAATAATTTTTCGCTGAGCAAACCGAGCATATTATGGGCCTCTTGTTAATTCATTAACAAAAGGGGTTACATAAATTAGCGCCCAACTTAAGAGACCTCGAAACATCATAAATATTAACATCATTAAAATATTATTGTACAGTTTGGTATTATCTTTTATCTTTTCTTTTGGCATAACTCAACTAATTGACTTTAGGTGTACCAGTATAACATGAATAAATCTAAATTATCCAATTTCTACAATAATTATATCTTTTCCTATAGCTTTAATAATTTACCGAACAACAAAATTCAATGGATATTTTCTTTATCTACATTTTGATTCTCCATATTTCTCCTGAAAATTTAATTTCGCATTTTTTTAATAATTCCGAATTTTGTTTTTTTTCTGAAAAAATAGGTAGCAAACAGTACTTCCTAGCGATCCCGGCGAAGGATAGACTGTTCAGAAACACAGCGCTCCTGCCTACGCGAGCTCTTGATTTTTCTAATCTCCCACTCCCAGGAAAATCTTGTCCTCATACCTATAGTTCCATAAAAATACCCCATTCTCGTCCTTATTTCATAGTAAAGTTTTTTTGCCCCCGAATAATTTTAATAACTCAGGATCATGACATGTATATATATTTTTTTTGCTTTGCCTTATCAATTTATCTTTTATCTTTGATGTATATAAGGTCAAAAGTTACCTTCGTATTGATTAGGACATTTTAAAATTTCTCCTTTGCTTAACCAAGTTATCTTTTGCTTTGATAATAAGTATAATACATAATGATTTACCTTACCGTTGTCCATTTGGACATTTTTTTTTTTGCGTATGTCATGCCTAGGATTGCCATGAGATATATTATCTTACCGTTGTCTTATCGATTTACCTTATTCATGATGTGTAAAGTATATAGTCAAAGAGTTATCTTTGTATCTTGGTTGATATGGACATTTTGTCTTATTCCATGTCACTGTCATTGATTCATCCCTTAGCTCTACTATCTTTCCTTACCTTTACCTTTATTTTCTTTTTTTTTCATACCTAACTGAGTTTTATCTCTGGATTGAGTTTTTGTTTCTCTCACAGTACCGTACCGATTTAAATAAGTTTCTGCGACTCAGCTCATCTATCTATTTCGTTACCTTAGGAGTAAATTTCTGTCTAGTAGTTTGCTGACGTTAATTTTAATTATCGATTATCATTAATAATACTATCTACTTAATACCTTGCCGGTGTTCATGATTCAGAATCAGATTTCACCAGCCATTTCCGTCTTGAATTTTGTTCGGAATTATTCCCTGTACCTTTATTTACCTACCTCTCTATCTTTATCTATATCTCTCTCTTTCTTACCTTGCCATTATTTTGCTGTTATCGAGGATGTTACCGTTGTGACCTAATACAATATTGAATATTGTTCAACTAAATAGTTACAATATGTTTGTATTAGGGAGTGGTTGAGCGCTAGATTGCTTTTCTTTAGTAAAGACTTTGCCTTTACTGAAGAATAACCAAAAATTGAAATTTTGAATTGCGCGCTTTTGCTCCGGAGTGAAGTTATCTTGAGTTTTCCTTTATAAGAGCTGTGCCGATTTCTGTTTAAGTGATTTCTCTTGTCTGTTCGGGGGAATCAATTGAGCAGGCTGCTACATATCACCTTATTGACACAGGCTTGGTAATAGGAGTTGGAGTCGAGTGGTTCTTTGGGAAAAACGGTGCTTTCAATGGAAATGGCCATTCTTGGGATAATTGCATTCCTAGGTGTGTTCGTCCGCACACTGATTTCTTTTCTATCCCTTCTCCTTCTTACGGATAACTTGTATATGGCGGCTGATCCCTGTTGTATGCAAGGGATGAAAAGTCTCTCTTATTCACTCTTGGGAACTCCGCCCAAAACTAAATAAATTGACTTTGTTTCCACTGCATGGGGTCTTTCCCTGTGTTGTTGTTTTTTTTTTTTTGTATCGTTTCTTTTCTTTATGTTTAAAATGGCAAAATAATGGTAAATAAAGTTGAAAGTTCGGTCAAGTTTCTTATAAGACTACACCCTATTACGACTTTTTCTCAACTATGACTTTTTCTCAATTGCAACCTACCAGTAATAATTTCCGTAAGGACGCGTGATACACGATATCGAACTAAAATACTTGACCACCGCTTTCAACTTTCCTCTTCTCTATCTTTTCTATCCATTTAAATTTTGCCTAGTTTTTTATGTTTATCAAAAAAAATATATATATACACTTCGTATATTTTTTTTCTTTTTTGGAAGAGGGCAGTGTAACATGTAAAGGTAATTGTTCCTATTTTTTTTAAATTTAATTTTATATAGCCCTGTTTATAATGTTGACAGTCTGGTGACTAACATTTAAAATAGAGGGTTTCTGCTACTCATAATGTTAGCATCATCTTGTCCATTTCATTTCTCTTCCTTTTCGAATTGTGTCGTCGAGCTGCAAAGTCGATCGGCCATCTTCTCGAGACAACCGTTCCGTAGAAAAATAAAGTACCTTATCGGCCTTCAGGCATTATCGTACCGAAATAAAGTTGCGTAGAGCAATAATCCATTGATTACCGAAAAAAATTAATTAAAAAGTCTCGTGATTACCGTTCAATTTAAGTTTGAATTTCCACGCTCCTCGTGGTAAGTTTTTTTAATTTCTTTTTAAGTAATAGCTTTTCAAGGAATGCCTTATTACTTAGTGTCTTTCAAAGAGCCGTTTCTCTCAACAGGTCCATTCCAAAAAGGCCACATTTTCAATAGTAACACCATTTTCGTGAAGTGTCGCATAGAGATTTTGAAGGGATTCCTACCCTACAAGAACCAAGACCCCTCACAAGTCGATGCGTGTGCCCCACATTTGACGACAATTCTAGTACTTTTTTTGCCTGGATTTTGGGCTGGAATCCGCAAGTTCCATGTGCGGTTCCCATCGTCAGGTGACCGAGGATGGATGGCTTCCGTGCTCTACCTTATGTTGAAATGGAGCCAATGGAGGCTTGTATTAAGTTTCACTAATAACTTTTAATACCTTTTCTACTATAAAATCAGTTTTATAGTCAATTAACAAAATTTAGATAATTTCTTTTATATGATTTTCATGCAACATTTAAAATCTCTGATTCTTGACACGATGGTGGAAAATTAGCTTTCGATTTATCGAATTTATTATCGATTTGTCTTAGCATAACTTTTAATATTGCTTTATATTTTATCAATTTTATCAATAATAATCGATAAGTGATCTGAACAAAGGTCAGGGTTAGACAACATGTTCTAAATTTAAAATGGTTGAGTAATGGCCTACCGTCGAAAATTGATCAATTTTCAACCCGAGCTTCTATAACTTATATATTAGTGAATTTACCTTATGTCTCTAGACCATTTAACCGTTATATAATCCAACTTTTGATTTTTTTCACAGGTACAAATTGATTTTTTTGAATGTTTACCTATATGTCAGGATTTGAGTTGTGTGCATTATTTATTTCTTTTTCAGAATAACCAATTACCAGCCAGTGGTGCCCTTGCCATGCTGTACTGATTGAACTATCAAGCCACGTCTAATAATTTTCTCTGGGAAAACCGAGCATATTATGGGCCTCTTGTTAATTCATTAACAAAAGGGGTTACAATATAGTGTGCGAATGTGACGCTGACTGGAACCCAATGAAATAAAGCATGTCCGACCTGAGCGGTTCTACACTTTTCCTAAATATGCGGGCTCCTTACAACAGACAACACTGCAGCAAGAAGGGGATAGCACAATGGGCCACATGTAAAGGCTCCCCTTTCAAATCAATCAATCAAATCAATCGAAACAAAGCTCCCAGGTCTAGAAAATATTATACAGCAAGTTGCTTTATATGGAAACAAATGCAACAATCATGCAAATTGAATACCCTGTCCCTTTGTAACTTTTAAATGAAAACAATAAAGACCGCAATTCATGAAGCAGAGAGCACAATTTCAGGTAACCCGTCGACTTTATGAATAATAATCCTGAAAAATTCAGGTAGCAAGGAAGCGTAGTGCGGGTACATAAAAAAAGCATAGGAAAGCACGTTGCCTTAATATACATACATATTTCCTGACTCGGCGTAGATAACTTAGTTTTGGGAAAACGTGGTCGGAAAAACCTGACGTGCCGGAAATAACTATTATTTCTCTATATGCTATTCTAATGAGTTTTTTCTTTCTGAGGCTATGACTATATTTGCAGCTTGGAATTTCCACAAAAATAGCACCTTTTTGAGTAATTTAGCAAAAAAAAAAAAAACAACCTGCTGCCTGGGATAATATGCCACAATCTCTGCCACAACTTAATATAAACGAAATAGGTCACAAAAAAAAGCTTACGTCGTTTAGTAACACGTGTTGCCCACAAGGTCCTTCCAGCCCTGAAATGTGAACCTTCCCAGGCACTTTATTAAATACGCAATTTTCCCTTTTCCTGTCAAGATTACCCTTAATCCTTATCTCTTAATCTTTTCGTTCCCCCTTTGTCTTTGTTTCCATTCTGCATTCAACTGGCTTCTACGTTGCGATAATGGCTAAGAGTATTTTAATTTGGGAAAAACAAAGATAAATTGGAAATTCAGATATAAGAAAAGTGTAATCTTTCTACGAGAAACGTAGAGTACCATTCAAAAAAGTTCTTCATAACCGATAGAACAGTTTATTTATTTAAAAATACACCTATTCCATATAACGATTTCGAATTTTATTTTCCGATTTATAATATGTAATCCCAATAATATTTTTCAATTAGCGTTGCCGGGCAATTTCCAATACGAAAATGGCAAATTTTAATGTTTACGAATTGTTACCAGCTAGTTTTACCGAATAATTTTGTTTCTATAAACGTGGCATCAATAGAAAGGTAAATTCGATTTTGCATTGTTTAAATGGACGAAATGAGCAGTAAAATAAATAAATCTCAGTGGCGTTCATTTATATTATCCACTTACCTTCTAATGTTCCACTATAAGCTATACCAGTGCTGAAGTTTAAATTTGGATGTAACGTTGATTCTATTATAACATCATCAGCAAAAATGGATTCATCGGGAACGAGTAGAAGCTTAAATATTCTGAAAAAGCCAAAAAAAAAAAGTATTATTTTTCTGAGGATTCCACTGAATTCATTTGGTGCCAGTGATGGAATCCAAACATGACCGATGGAATATTTTCCATACAAAATTCATCATAAAAGCCAGTTAACAATCCAAACCACACCGTATAATCGATTTTTCCGGACAACGAATCCGAATTAATGAAGCAAAATACTGGGGCGCAATTTGAGAGGGGAAACTTCAAAAAACAAGGCATGCATCGAGAATGGAATTTGGTTCAATTTATTCAGTACAATCAAAACATTTATCAAGCCAGAGGTGTGTATCGCAGAAACTTAAATCCAATTTCCAACCGCTGCGCCAACAAAGTCGAAATCCTTACGCAGCCAGCTTCTGATTAAATCTCGTAAGATAAAGTTCGAGATGTCGCCGATGTAAATTGAGCCGACTTGGGACACGCGGTTTTAATTGACTTTTATCAGACATGGAGTAAATTGCCGATTTTGGCACAATGCAAGGGGCAGAATTTAACGGTAAAGGGGTTTGAAATAGATTTATGATGCAGAAATCAGTGTTTATTATTATTGTATAACTTTTGTCGTTGAAACCGAGTATGATTATCTTCCATTCTGTTCTTATTGTTGTCGATTGTGCGTTTTCTGATGGTTATAGAAACCAATTCTGGTCTGGAGCCACACACTCTTCCTCTGTTTATCCGCTCTTTCCTGCGGTCCCTCTTTTCGGTTTGTGGTCCGTCGTGGACTACTCGACGACATATGAGCCTATCATTTACCGTCGTCTCCCAGTTGCTGGTATCGATATGGCACTTTGCCATGTTTTTCTTAGGAGCATCTTTGTAGCGTTTATGTCGACCTGACTGTAGAGAATCTGTCATGGAAGACTTGCTTCGGGCATGCGAATGAGGTGACTGTCCAGCAAAGTTGATGTTTTGGTCTCTTCTAAAATACTGAAGTTCGTTCGTCGGTTTTTCCATTCAATCAGTGGTCATCGCTGGTAGTTTTCTAGGCTGTTAATGTGTCTTATGTAGGTGATTTAGGTCTCGCAGTCATGGGATAGTGTTGGTATTACAACTACATTGGAGACGCGAAGTTTGGTTTCACCGCTGATGTCGTGATTGTTGATGACTCTCTCTAGAAGTCGCCCGAACGCTGCGCTAGCACACTTTAAGCGATGTTGTGGATTTCAGCGGCAATAGTTGCATTCGCTGACAGATGGCTGCCAAGGTGTTCCACGTTCTGTAAAGAATGATCATTTATAGTTATATTTGGGGCTTGGGAATAAGTGCCTGGTACGGGTTGATGCAGAGTCTGCGTCTTGTTAAAGTTGACCTTTAGACCAATTGTCCTGTATGTCTGGTTGACTGCATTGATAATTGCCTGGAGATCTTCCTTTGTATTGGTCATCACGACGTTCTTCTTCTTCTTCTCCAGCCTAATACCATCCACTCCTGGATGAAAGCCTCTTCCAATTGTTTCCATACCCCTCTGTTCTGTGATGTGATGTTTTTACCCAGTTTTTCCCCGTGGTTTTTACGATATCGCCACCTTTTTTAGGGTCTTCCAGTACTTCGCCTAGTTTCCCGGGGCCTCCATTTTATGACTTCATTTGTCCACTGGTTTGCTTCTTGTCCAGCCCATCTCCACTTCAGTTGAGCTATGCGTTGTGTGACGTCAGTAACCTTCGTTTTCTTCGTATATCCTTGTTTCTAACCCGGTCCCTCAAGTTAATGCCTAACATGCCACTTTCCATTGCTGTTCTGAGCCTATTAATGCTTATGGCACTGCCATAGTTTCGAGACCGTACGTTGTAGGTAGAACACATGTTTCGTAGACATTTCGTTCGAGGTGTTGGGGAATATCAGGGTTTTTAAGGATGAATCCGAGCTTACCGAATGCAGCCCAGCTGATCTCGGAAAGAGGTCTTGTTGATGAGGTAAATTAGGGTATTTGTTTTTTTGTCTATGTGGGATATGTGCTGTTCCCATTTCAAATTATCTGTTATATTGACACCCAAATCCTTCTGGCGTTTAACAGGATAGCGCGCTTTATTCTACACAGTTCTTCTTTCTATCTGCGGGCTGGAACACACACAGGGCAGCTCCGTTTGCTCCGTGACAGAGTAAAGAGGGCTACGGGCTGTGATACGACCAGGGTGGCGCTCTTTATTCTTCACACCTCTTCTCTCTTTCTTACCTGCATGCTGCTCGAATTAAGAATTCGCGCCCGAGGCCCAAAGGACTGATCCTGCAAGCTGACGGTTGTAGGAGCTGGACCGATCATGGTTCCTAGAGCTTTCTTTTGCCGATTAACCGTTACCGTTTCCATAACCGTTACCGTACCGTAATCTAGAACCGTTAAATTCACGCGACTAATCCGACACGCAGACGCACACGCACTTCGTTCGCCCCCCTCACTCTCTGCTTAGCATTTCCTTTTATTAAACCTGTATGTTAATTAAGTTTTCTTGCATATTTCCTTATTGTATTAAAATTATTGCGTAAACAATAAAAACTACTTTCTTGGTTGGATTGTGTGTTTCATTTTTGCGAAATGCGTAGGGACACCTGGTTTTCCGTTTCCACTGGTTATAAGCTACCTAGAGCACGTGGGCCCTTAACCACTATAATCATAAGGGTGGCGCCGAGTTTTCCGAAATCAACCGCTTTGTTACCGGAAAACCAAAGTAGCGCTACAAATTTGGTTGCACTTGACTTCTGTTTGATCAATGACATATGTAAGTCTTGGGTTGTTTAGGCCTATTTGAAGAATGGTGCATGTTAAGAGGCATTCTCCAGAGGTCCGTCTAGCCCTTGATGGTTCCGAGGTCGGCCTGGAGGTCATTGAATTGATCCACGGGATCACAGAACAGGTTTGTGTCATCTGCAAAAGATAGAGGTTCTGTCTTCAAACCCGCATACAGGTCACATAGCGTCAGGTAAACGATGAACAGCAAAAGTCTCAGAACTGAGCCCTGCGGCACACCACTGTAATCACTGAGCTCCTCCGACATTGCCGATCCCACTCGTACCTGAAATGTTCGAGCTTGAAGGAAGCTGCTGATTAACCGCAGAAGCTGTCCTTTAATAACGTAGTGCTGAAGTTTGTAGATGAGCAGGCTGATAGGGATCTTGTCAAAAGCCTTCTTGAAGTCCAAGTACACAACATCTATGGGTTGTTAGTTATCATCAACATAGGTCCATTTCTGCAGTCTGGTCAAAAGGTTTGTTATGGTAGACCTCCGAGGAAGGAAGCCATGCTGTTCATTAGGGATGATATGGTTTTTAGCGCACCTACTAGTATTTTCTCCATGCATTTGCAGATGATACTGGTTAAACTCATTGGCCTGTAGTTTTCCCGTAGGTTATTAGTTATAGCTTGTAGAAGTGTAATAGTAGACTGATTGGTCTGTAGTTCTCGATATTTTGACTGTCTCCTTCCTTATACAGTAAGATGACTTCAGCTTTTTGCCATGTGTTCGGGATTTATTCCGCGGTAAGGTTCAGGAGTATTCTTACAGCCTCTTGAATATCCTTCCCTCCTATTTTAAGCATTTCGCTAGTTACCCTGTCCTCTCCTGGACTTTTCCTATCTTTCTGGGGTTTCGGTATTTTTGAACTATAAAGTTTAATCTTGCGCATATTGTGTCAGTTAAGTATCGATGTAGTCGATGTTTGGCTATTCATAAATGTTCCCTAAATTTACTAATATGTAATAGTCTTTCTCATAGAGTCTTTACCATTGGGTTTCAACAATAGTATTTCTGACTTGGATTGTATTTTACCATGAAAGGTAATTCCTGCAAAGTGAAATCCGATTGCAGAATAGTGCGCGGACACCAGTGTGAGTGAACACTGGAAAAGTTAGTCAGTGTAAGCAGTGACAAATCATTAAAAGAGACTTAACCGATCGTGCAAATTATCCCGGAAGTGACTGTATACCCGATTTTGACTGTGATAGTGAGTTTTCGAGTAAGTTCTAGAAGGGAGATATCAAATTTCTGACTTCGCCGACGTATTCGAAACATCAATCGTCATTAAGGAAAAGAATTTCGAGGAGTTTCGGGAAAATTCTATTTGGAAACCAAGTGAGATATCGAAATTGTGACTTCACCGACGTGTTTGCTATATCACTCGACATCCGGAATGCCAACTTGAAACTCAGCACAAATAAGTGTTTTCTATTTCAAAAGAAAGGGGAATTCTTAGGTCACGTGGTATCTGGAGATGACATACAAGTTATGGAAGGAAAAATAGATGCTGTCAGGGATTGGCCAAAACCACGCGACAAACATGAACTAAGGAGTTTTCTAGGATTATGATCTTATTATCGAAGACTTGTAGAAGGATTTGCCAATATAGCTGCTCCGCCTCATCGATTAACACAAGAAAAATCAACATCCAAGTAGACCCAAAAAATAGTTAGGGGTCAAATAAGGAATCAGTTGTGCGCTTCAGTTCAAGTTTGCGCCAGCAAGTTGATGGACATGACGGAAAGTCTATCTTGGCCTTAAGACTATATTGGACTTCTGTCAAAAGCCCAACTGTTTATTATACAAATTTTTTTGAAAACTGCCGCTAGGGGAATTTGTGACCGGCGCTTATGGTGTGCCCCTAGAGTTACATTCAGATCAGGGACGAAATTTCGAATCTGCCATCTTCAAGAAAATTTGTGAGATCATGGGAATTCGTAAGACAAGGTCAACTCCTTTACATCCACAGTCTGATGGCATGGTAGAACGATTCAATAAGACCATAGAGGAATACCTGACAAAAGTGGTTGCAAAGAACCAGCGAGATTGGGAAAAACACTTGCTTCTATTTTTAATGGCTTACAGAGCAGCTGTTCACGAGTCAATAGATGAAAGTCCAGCTAGAATCGTTTTTGCAAGAGAACTCAGCTTGCCTTGCGATCTGGTGTTTGGAATACCTGAAGAAGAACGGAAAGAAATCCGAGATTATGCCTACGAAGTAAGGGCACGACTTCTGGGTATACATGATT